ATGCAATATTAAACAAAGACTGTACTGAACATATATCAAGAATTTCCTAGCTAATCTCTTGGAAATTGCGGACAAAAGGTTGCTAAATCAAACTTTCTTTTCTCTCGGCCAAAGCTGGAACTTCCAGCAAGAAACCAGCTTGAAAATTCAAATTTTCATCATCAAACTCACATGCATTAGCCTATAAACGTTATACAGGGCCTAAAACATGAATTCCAGTTACAATCTAACAAAGTTTTCAAAGAAAAAGACCAAAGTTGCAGCGTTTCTTCCTCCAGATTTGCTCTCTTGGAATTCCGGTTTTGGTGTTGCTTTAAAAGTTCATCTTTTCTTGCTTTTAACACTCCAAATCTCATGTGCATGATCAGATTAAGACCATGGATGTTGCTAAAAATAAATCTTAACTAGGTTCAACCAAAACCTCTTAACAAACCCATAACAAGAATGCCAGCCAACAGTTCATCATAATCTCATCTTAACATGCCTTATTTGACAGTGTAAACGCGCATGTCAAGATATGTGGCCAAAAAATGTATACAAAACATGCAACAGAAGACACAACTGGAAAATTGCAGCTTAGCTCATCAAGGAACATAACAGCTTCAAACGAACATTTCCAGCTTTGGCAACCTTTGTTTTCCAGAAAGTTTTCTTTTTATTTGGTTCTAACTCAGTCTAAAAGACTACTAGCTAAACGTAGAAGAAATGGAAAAGGAAGACAGTAGTTTACCTCTGGTTCTTACAGCTCTAAGCTAGGAAAATAAAATTCTGATTCCTCTCTCTCCAATTCTTAGCTAGATTGACTGCATTCCTTCTTGCTTTGTGGCTGGTTCTCACGGTTGAAAGAGACCAGAAATGAGTTCCTGGTTGTTTTTTTTTTTTTTTTTTTTTGGTCTTTCTCTCCTTTTCCTCTTAATGTCTCTCGGGTAGCTAAACTAAGGAAAAGAACTACAGCCAGCTTCTACTTATTACCTCTTGACTGACCAAAACTACACTTGCATGTTACTTGGGCAGCTAACGAGGACAAGTGTCCTCCACATTGCATGTTGTCTTCTTTGCTATTGTTTGTTGTTTTTTTTTTTTTTTGCAACAACAAATTCTAACTAATACTAATGTTTAATGGTATAAGTGATACAATTGCTTAAGATATTACCGGGTTATTTGTTAATGAATAAAAGTAATTAAACGTGTAAATCAATAATACAAGAAAATGGAACATGCATTAAATTTTAAATAAGACATGAAAATTTTTGGGCCCTCACACTCTTTTGTCTTTTTCCTATTCTTCATATTGAGGACAATATGAATTTGAAGTGCTGGGGGGGGGGGGGGGAAAAAAGGTTTAAGGGAATTAGTTGTGACTTTTTATGGCCATGTGATGATGATTGTTGATTGGAATTATGATGGAAATGTTGGAATTTATTTTGGAAATACTGCCATATAGAAAATTTTTTGAAATTGATTTTGCTGGCAGGGAGTTTCACCCAGTTAAATGGGGAAACTCTATTAAAATTTTTTCAAAATCTTTTTCAAAATTTCACTAGGGCCCAAAAAGTTTGAGAAAATTCAACAAATTTTACTCTCAAGAAGTTAACTCCCCTACTTGTTGGATTTTGGAACACGCTTTTGAATGATTCATTTCCGATTTAACTTGGAATTAGTTATTATGTGGTTAGAATTTTTGCATTTTAGAAAGTATATTTAGTAAAGTAGGGGGAATTATGCTTATATTTGCATGTTTAATGGGATTTCTCTCTTTTACTTAAATCTACAACTAAGTGATTGATACAGCCAATTAAGTGATATTCTTCTTACTATGTATATATTGTTTTAAGAGAGAAAAAGGAAAAAAAAAAGAGCATAAATAAGAGTTTTACTCTAATGATTCTTATACTTAGTAACCGGGAGTTTTCATCTAAAAATTTCGACTTTCACGTAAACAGGCACTTGAATTTGGAGTAGTTGAGTAACTTGAGTGTACGAGTGTTAAGCAATCGGGGGTCTTCACCTAAACGTGTCGATCTTCGCGTCAAAAGACACTTTCATAACTTAAGTATTTGTTGTAGTTAGTGTGAATAATTCCTTCTTTAAACTTATGTTTTGAGGAAAAGATAGTGGTAGGAGAGCATTAACTATCTTTTGATTGTATAAGTAGCTTATTTGTGGAGTTAGATTAGGGTGAGAGATTGAATTGAACATAATTAAATTCAAGTATGCTTGTCTCTCCTTTACTAGATATTATGAGTATTTAGTGTAATTTGAATGATTGTATAATAGCTAATTACTGAGTTATTAGATTTGAATTTGAAAAAGCATGGTATTTGGCTAGGCCCTTGGATCATTGGTTGTGTAGTTGTTGATATTGCTTGAGAACAAACAATGATTCAAGTGTGGGAGAATTGATAATGGTTAGATTTGTGATCTTTTTTAATGTGTTTCATATTCTCTTTGAGCCAATTTGTAAGATTAATTAGTATAAATTGTCCATTTTATGTCACTAGTTTACACTTTAAGTTGATAAACGAATTAGTTGTGATTTTTGTCATTTTATATGCAAAATCTCTTTGTTGTTGTAGGTAAAATGATCAAGCTTAATTAGAAGTGAAATGAGCGAGGATGAGAAGCTTGAGGAGTCACAACAATGGCTAAATGAAGTGGTGCAAGGAAAGGATGAAGCTAAAAAAAAAAAAAAGAAAAGAAAAGAGAAACCCTTGAGGAATCGGCTTGCGGTTTCTCCCGTGGTTTGTGGCCAGTGAGCCATTTCACCGCAAATCCATTGTCCTACAAATTTAATGAATACCCTAAATGTCTTTATCTTATAAAGTTTAATTCATTCTTCTAAATAATTGTAAAGTAATTTGGCACAATTATAAAAAGGACGAGTTTCGAGTTTTTCATGTCAATATTTGTTATTTAATGATCAACTATAACAATAAACCTTTTTGCTATAATAAACTATTTTTTATCCAACCCTATTGAGAATATAGATTCTTTTTAAGATAGAAAAGAATGTATTATATATTTTTTTAAGTTCATGGGCTATTTTTTTAATATGTGGAACTTCTATAGTTTGGTAGTGATTTGGACCATTTGTTTTTAATTATTGTTGCTTTATTCTTGATTTTATTACAAAAAAAAAGAGCCATAAAAAAATTGGATGACATTAGAAGTCCTCCAAAAAAATATTACTAGTTTAACGTCTAATCCGAATATATATTAGTAACAACATTAATAGTTCTTCTATACTTTTAATAAAATATAAGAGAAATGAATAAGAAGAAAAAATTATAAAATTATAAAATCTATCTTTTGTATAAGGGTTAATATCAGAAACCTCCCCTGAGGTTTCTTCTAATCACATCTAGTACCCCTCATGTTTTTGAAATCACACTTAGCACCCCTGGCAGTAGGATGTGACAGGTTGTCCTAATCAAAAGGTGAGAAATTACCCAAAAACCACCAACACCAGACAAATTTTTAAGCGGGGAAATGCTGGAAAACCAATGCTGCTGTAAACAAGCAAGACATAATTCCCTTTGTACCAAATGCTCAAGCTACTCTAAATGGTGGATCTCAAGCCGAAACTTCTGTTAGCATTAATACTGCTGCAATAGTGGCCTCTAACACTATTACCAGCAGTTTCTCTATGATGTTTTGAGAGTGCTAAAGGTTCCCCGCAATCCTTGCTTTTGGTATCTAAAGTAGTTTAGGTACTAGTCTTCTTAGCTCCCAACAATACTGAAGCAATGTTAGCTTTTGTGGACAATTTTTTGAAAAGTGGTGCAATGTGCATCTGATTTATATTTCCTGCCACTTATGGTGCTGTTTGACTAATCTTAGAACTACTTGTGTATAGTTTTGTGCATTGCAATCCTCACCATCTAAACAACTAGTTGTAGATGGTGTTTTTGTTCAGAATTGGATTGCAATATAAGGCTTACGTATCATGTTACTAGACTGATCCAATGTAGTATCATGGACTATGTAATTAGTGGAGAAGGGGCAGGGATGGTTACTGCCGTTAAAGGTAGTATAATTACTCGCTATTGTTATAGTGTTACAACGTGTACAAATGATGTTACACCGTGTGGGACGGTTACTACTGTTAAAGGTAGTATAATTACTCGTTGTTGTTTTAGTGTTACAACGTGTACAAATGATGTTATACCGTGTGGGACGGTTACTAATGTTAAAGGTAGTATAATTACTCGCTGTTGTTCTAGTGTTACAACTTGTACAAATGATGTTACACCGTGTGCAAAATGCACACAAGCTTCCGGAGTGCAAACGTTTCGGCCCCAGGTCCATAATTAGTTATGCATCTCTATATCGCCAAAATCTCTGATAATTAGTTATAACATTTTTTTTATTACACTTTTACACCCTCAGCTTCTAAATTAATATCATATGCCTATTTATTTCTATTTTTATCTTCTAAAATTCACTAATCATTTTGGGCTTTGGGTAAAAGTGGAACAAAAATAAAGTCTCTCTCCTACAATTCATTTTTTACTACCATTTTCAAATAGAGGGGCTGACAAGATACCAAAGTTGTCATTCCAAGGGTGCTAAGTGTGATTTCAAAAATATGGGGGGTGCTAGATGTGATTAGAAGAAACCTCAAGGGAGGTTTCTGATATTAACCCTTTGTATAAACATGGCAACAAGAGAGTTTTATTAAAATATCAAAATTAGTATTATCATTTTAAATAGGTAAAGGTGATATGTGTAATTTTTGAAAACTTAAAGGAGCCAGGTGAAATTATCAAAAACCTCAGGGAGGTTTCTAAAATCATTCCTAACCAATATGTAGCCTGTGTTTCGAAAAATAACGCCAGGACTTGGCTGTAGAAGTTGCATACCGAAAATCAAATTATTGGTCCATACCAGGGCTTGGGAGTTGGTCATAATTTCAAATGCCTTGGTCCTTTAACCGATGCGAACCAAATGCACCAATTACTTGGCGCGATATCCAACTACCCCATCAGTGCTTTCCCTAATGAGATTCAAGTGTATGTATCCCATGATCTTGCTTTTTGCTATCACACCATTTCGAATTTACATAGTTTCGGTTTAAAACTGCTGCAACTGTTTACAACTCAACCTAATAATATTTCAGATACAGAACAATCACATTACATTTGAGGACAGCTACCAGATTAAAATCCATAGACCTGTTTAAAACTACTAGCAAGCTCCAAGAAAAGAAGCCCCTAAGATGTATACTCAGCTTATCATTGTTTATTTTCTTTTACCTCTGCTCTTTCTGCTCTTGTTTCTATTCTTTCCCTTTCCCTGGTTGCGTTCATTTTGCTTACACTGATCATTGCCTTGGGAACCAGAAGCAGCAGGAGTGGAAGGAAAATCATTTTGATTGCCAAGAATTGCCTCTTTACGGTCAACTGCTTCCGCAACTTGAGCATCAGAGCCTTGCTGAGTACCAGCTTTGAAAGGGACGATTAACTGGCTTAGGAAAGTCTCCAGCTTAGGCCTTCTTGACTGCAAACGCTTCAGAAGAATTCCCATTCTCGCCATGTTTTTGGCAGATAAGAAATGACTGTGAGATGAAAACCAAAATCTAAATTTCAGCAATTCCATAAGTAATGTAGCACAGAAGCAGCACAAAATCCAAGGTTTAAATTGAAAGATTTCAAGTAAATAATAATTGAAACACTTTTGAGTAACTATAGCTTGTGGTAGTGAAAAAGATTAAAACTGTTATATGTATGAACTGAAAAAAAAATCTGATCTCTAATCCAAGATTCCACACAAATCCCACGAATGAAGGAAACAATGGAATGTAGGAAACAATCAAGACCAAAGTAGGCGACAAAATTAAGCATATATTGTATTCAAAAGAAAGGCTTGACTAATGACATAAAACCCAGTAAGTAAAGTTGTAGGAGTTAAAATAGCAAACCGGTTTCACTGCAGAAGCGATAGCATTGCACACTGAACAAAATTGGGCTGCATTTTGCTCGAAATACTTAATGTCCCAGAATACAACATTTGCACCTTAACAAAACATCTTCCTATAAATTCCTGAATTTGATTTGAATAGAGAACTAGTATTGGCAACTCATTAGGTACATCTCATCTGCAGCAGCTCCACTATTTAGCTAGAATGGTTTTATACATTTAGCTTTCTAAAGAAAGTTCGTATTTGCAACAACAAAAATTCTAATAAAAATGTCCCTCATTCTCATCCAATTATCAGTAAGTTACCTTGCATGAAAGAGAGACGATAGTTCCTTGAGTTCCCAAAGCATGCTGCGTGCTTCACCAAAAATAATGTCATTTTCACTAAGATGAGAATTCTGAGCACTCAGTCCAGCAGCTAAGGTGTTTATGCTTTCCTGCAGGTCCACCTAAAAAGCACACACACACACACAAAATTATGAAATAAAACATTAAAGCTATCTGTTACTGCTTCGAGTTTATGCTACATTGGTAATACCAGAAAGTTTCATGAAGATGGTGAAGATACAAAGTGGCCAATTAGCATTACCTTCATGTTGACAAACTCAGAAGAACCACTTGTTGAATTGCAATTTTGTTTTTTCTCTGTTGATAATACTACATCAAATATTTCTTGAAAAAGGTCCCAGTTCACCTCCAGGTTAATCGCATTTCCATTTCTGGAGCTCATGTTCAGATCTGAAGCTGGCAAGCAATTCTCATCACACAGTCCTTTGCAAAAATTAGGTGTATTTGCTTCAACAAAACTACTCTGTTCTCGGCAATTATTGGCTCTTGGGAAGAATATTCCCATGATGTTGTCCTTATGAGGTGTTGTTCCAATGTCAACAAGAATAGCATCTGGACAGACAAATTTATGGATGTTTCCTTTTAAAATCACAATCACAACAGGGTTCACAATCCTTCTGAAAGCTCCAGCAGTTGCATTTAGAAGGTTGACAAAATTATGCTTTCTTCCTCGCCTAAGTGCTTCAGTAAATTGTCTTGGGAGCTGCGAATTAATATGAGACTGACCCAGCAGACGAAAGAGAACATCAAAATATTTTCCAGAGTTCAAGCACACCAAGCACATAATGACCACCAGTCTTAACATCAGCAAGGAATAGTACTGATTAAAATCGATATTGGATTTAACAATGGATTTAACAATCCATTCCGCTGTCTCCTGAGTATTGCAGAGGAAGCTTTCAACCATCATAACAACAAAATCATATACATTTTCTGGAGATGACCCCATGTCAGATACTGCACTGGCACTTGGATACGTGCCTGCTTGGAGATGCATGAGCACTTCCAGGAAGGCGCTCTTTGTCGTGAAAAAGAAATCCTTAGAATGACATACCAAAATAAGAAGGCGTTCAACAAGGTATAAGAAACAATTAGGTGATACATAGTCATCAGCCCTCCTCCAATTGACAAGATAAGTATCTTTCAAAGCATGATGGAAGTTTTCAGTCAGCGAAAACTTCATTGGATCTTGAACTGGAATTTTTGATGCAGGATCCTGTGGGATTCCTGAATCCAAGCTACCATGGACAAGATCATTCGATAAATGCCTTTGAACTTTATCTATTTGTGTACACATCCCAGAATCTTCTGAAGAGGATTCAGCCAAAGATCCGGAAAACTTGTTCCCTCTAAGAATCTCAATGAATGCTTTCCAGGAAAAAAAAATTTCAAATCTTTCTGCAATTTTCTTGTACAGTTCACCTGATGGTTTTCCACATCCAAGACAAATCATCACCACCCTTCCAATTTGGCCATATGTAAGATCACCCCTCATGCTGATATTCTCCACAATTATGTTGTCAAGTAGAGTCCGGGAGAGCTCAGTTTTCCTTAGCAAGACCAAGTTTTCCTCCATTGATTTATTAGAGTCTAATGGGAACACATATTCAAAGTATTTGTTTGATAGCCGCAGAAAACTCTTCAGCTTCCTCGTAAGGCTATCAGGACACTTGAATGACTGAATCAAAAATTTTGACACCTGATAGATATGAACAAGGCATATGCTTTGACAAAATAGAGACAAGGACTTTGCTACCGACAATTCATAAAGTTCTTCGAGAATTTCCAGCACTTTCTGACCAACAGAAATTAGTTCTGCACGCCAGTGACTCTTAGCAGCAGTTGCAAATTGTCGAACATCAATAGAGATCAAATTCTTGCCACGGCTCATGGAATTATAACCAATCTTTTTCATCCATTCAGCACCTGGGTTCAGCACCACATATGTTGCATTCAAATTCTTAAACTGCCTCCTCACGCCGAAATAGTTCAAACAAAACTCACCTAAGCCCATGTATTTACTGAAATTTTGATTCTCCATACATTCAAGATATTGAAAGATATTCAAGATGTTCTCTTTCCACAGATTCCAAAAATACATGAGCGTACCAATGGACAACTGATTGAGTGAAATCCTGTTTTCAGAATGCTTTTTCACATCAATAGGTAATACATCTTCCCATCCATACTGCAAGGTTTTAGAATGGAAATGACAATCCAGAATCCTTCGGATTGATAACATCTCAACTCTAGGACTTTTAAATTGCTGTGAGTAACTCAGACACTGGTGCAACTCATACAAGTTAATATGCTCATGGGCCAAAACTTGAACCTCAGTGCAAACAAGTTCATAAAACTGATCTGATTCTTTCTTTGCAAATGACATGGCTCTCTTCAGAAGTACTTCTTTTTCTGCAAATGGCTTCAAGGGCCAACCTCCACTTCCAGCAGCCCATAGAGAGTTGGAAAGCACAAAAGAAAGGATGAGGGAGGATGCTTCCTTGATAACACCTGCCTTTCCCAGCAGATCTGCCTCAAGTAGAAGATCTCCTTTCAACTTAGCGATATCTGCAGCCTCCTGGAAGTTTCCTGCTTCTTCTTCCAACAACAGAAGCTCATCAAAACAGTCTACAGATTTCAGGAAGCTGCGTCTGAGATCCATAGAAGGGAAAGCTCTAACATATTTCATCATGGATTTATTGTCCTTGAGTTTATAATAAGTCAAAGCACAACTCTCCAGAAAGTCTTGCTCAACTCTGCCAATTTCTTCACCTATTGTAGTCCTGCCATTATGACATGAAGAACTGTATTTCCAGTGCTCAATATACTGCAAGCCTAGGTCAAATAGTTTTCCTTCGGTGCACACAGACAAACACTCTGAGAAATAGTTTCCCCTGGCATATACCGTTGCCGCAAGTTCATAACACTTGGCCTTAGTAAAACAGTCACCTGCTTTTCTTAGCTCAGATTCCCCACATTTGTCCAAAAAAATTCTTCCTGCAGCAAGATACTATACATCAAACTTCAAAATGCTTTTTGAGTGAAATACTTACACACCTAAATAGCAATCTGACAACCTAGATGAACAGTCATAGAAAAAAGACCAGTTTAACAGCTTTAAAACCAAAACCCATCTCCTTCTCCATGAAGCATTTAACTTGTTATTTCTCATAACCATTACTTAATTTTCACTTCAACTTAAGTGATTACAGGCAATTGACATTCACTAATTCAGAGAATATCAAATATGATAAGATGTGGAAAGCCAGAAAGGCTTAAGCAGGTCATGCAGAATCATAAGAAATATTCTTCATTTGCTAGTCTTAGCAAGTTGTTTGATATGTTTGAATTCATAATTTGCTGGAGTAGCTTTTTCGAATCTGTTTGATATGTTTTGATTGATAAGCTGCTGAAGTAGGTTTTATGATCTGTTTTACATAGCCTCGTAAGGGTCTCGTGGTCTTTGGCAATTTAGGCATCATCAGGTACAGCAGACACAGAAATAGTAGATTGTGTAATGTAGCAACAACATTGAGATCATTGTCATCTAAGTCGTGTTCAACTCTCTTGGACTCACATAAACCTTAGAAGCTATTATCCAAAAAGCTCTCATGACATCTCTTCCTCAGTCTACCAACTTTGTGGCTTTTTGCTGGATTTCCAATATTTTTCTGCACCAGCAGGTGTCTCAGCTTAGTGATGGAAGAAATGGAGCAGCAGGAGAGCATCTTTTCCAAATGAAAACCAGGAATCAGTGGAAAACATATACATGCATCTTTGACCCTTGAAAAGTGTGTGCCCAAATTCCACGATATAATTGCTGGTACTGTTAGTCTGTTCATGCATCATGCATAAGTTCCCCCCCCCCCCCAACAACCATTCACACATTGAAGTAGAACAGAAAAAAAGGACTACCCAAGGCTAAGGAGCCTAAAGATTGGCAGATAAGAAATTTCAGCATACAAGAGAACTGATCGCTTTTTAATATTCAACAAAAATAAAGCCTTTTCACCACAAACTGCAAGCCTTCGACGATATGGTCTACCTAGAACAGCTCTATATCAGAGTTTTCTTGATATGTGCTGGGTGGAAATGGAATAAAGAAGTACATGTATTTAAATAATCATCCTGATTACAGCAAAAACGCCTTATGGGATAATTGAATAGCGTACCTGCTCTCTCATAGTCTCCCAAATCACAGAAGCATTCTGCGGCAGAATTTGCCAAACCAATGGAGTCAAATATTTCAGCAGCTTCTCGAAGGATTGTGCAAGCCTCTTTGGGATTCGAAATGCGCAATTGGTCTGCAGTTTCCCTCAGGCCAGCTGCCTTGGCCCTTTTCTCCCAATTTGTGTCTCCTGCTTTTTCAAAGCACATGGATGCCACTTGATACTTTTTCTCCCAATAGAGCTGCATAAGCAATTAAATGTCAATCTCATGGGAACTACAAACTGTAATGAGAGGGTTAACAGATCCAAAAAGATGACAACATCAGCAACAAGAAGTCAAAGCACAAATTAAATCAATGATGCGGTAGAAGATATGGTGAAGGAAAGTCCAACCTTTATACCCCTTGATCTCCACTCAGCAGGACTGCTTGCCATTTGCATTGCTTGCGCAAACGAATCATCCACCTTCTTTGCTTGTACAAGGCACAACTTTTTCCAGAAGTCAAACATGGGCTTGGAAAACTCCTCTTTGTTTTCACAAATCCACAACCTCTGCCTTGTTCTAGTAATGGCAACATACAATTGTTTCAATTCAGAACACAAGATGCTATGTCTAGCATGATTGAAACTAGGAAAGCTCCTTGGCAAACAAGAATCAAGCAAATCTTTAGTATTCATGAATTCGTAGACAACTCTCCATTGATTTCTCAGAGGTGATGAACCAAAAAAGTTATACAACAGTACATCCTGCAATTGTGAAAAATCCAAGTCAAGAAACAGAAATCAAATTGCGAAAATGAATGAGGAAAAGCATCAGCCAGGAATTAAATGAGACAGTAAGACTGAAAGGAGCCTGAAGGGGAGGGGAGGTGTGGGTGGCACACAAATATTTATCCCCATGCCTTTCAAATTATAAATGAAAAAAACTGAAACTTCTAGCCCCTCCATTCCACTATTAGTACCTTTCAAATACTTTTGAGTACCCACTTGGAGAAAGAATTAAGAAGTAAATGAACAAAATATGAATCAAATTAGAATCACCTGAAACTCAAGGCCCTTGCATTCCACTATGGTAAGCACAAGAGCATGATTTCCAACATGATTAGAAACTTCTTCCCGTGCAGAATCATCACGCACAAGTATGACCTGTTCAGCACCAAAGCCTACTATTTTACCAGCAGTACTTGCATTGTTTCCAAAAATAGTTACAATAGCATTCTCCTCACTGCCAGGTTCAAGTAGAACAGGAGCTTCACCATATATAAGACTAGTCTCGGGCTTCAAAATGTCAACAGATTGAGCGAAAAAATGGCAAAGAAGATCAATGACACACTGTGCTAATCTAAGAACACCAGCATGAGTACGGAAGTTCTGGTACAAATTGAAAATTTCTGATAAATGTCCTTTCTCTTTCCTTTCAGGATTCCTTTCATGCATTGATTCCATGACAAATTCATTATAGAACAGAGATCGTATGTCTTCAAACCTAAAATCAATACCCCTTGCAATAGTCTGTGCTGTATCACCAGAAAACACAAAACCTTCATCAATGTTTGTGCAAATATATTTGAAAAGAGAAATCTGTCTCATGGTAAGATCTTGAACCTCATCAACATAAACAAAATCCATTTTATCTCCTCCCAGACTTCTATTCTTTAGTCTAACATGAAGGTTGATTACAAAGTCGGACAAATCAAATTCACGACGTTCCACTTTCATCTTCTCATAATCCTGGAAAATATCATAGATCATCTCTCTCTTCTGAGCACTCAAAGTTGATGCCCTACTTTCAGACATTGAAACATATTCCTGCCGGCTCAATTTACCATCAGAAGCTTCCCCCGCTAGCAAGCCTCCTTTTATATGAGAAATTATCTCAGTAAATGCTCTGGAAGGGTCAAGATTCTTTGTCAGCTGTGAGTTGAAATGTGGCCAGTAAAAGAAACAAAATCTGTCATAGTTCACCTCCTTGACGCGTAAAAAATTCTTTAGAGCAACAGATCTTAAATTTCGATTAGTATCATTCGAATATTCCCTTATCTCAGGAAATCTGTCAAAATATGAATCAGGCATTGTTCCATCAAGCATCATTAAGAACTTGTGAAACGTAATCACAAGAGGGTACTTTGCTGCAGGAATGCCAACAAATGAATCCGGTATGCCTTTAAAATGCTCTGCTCCATCCACATCTTCCATCTCAAGCAAACTTGTATCCGATGAGAAATTTCCACCATAGGCGAAGCTGTGCACAACACATTCAAAGTCAGAAGATTAGTGGGGGCCAAATATGCGTCCATACAAGTGGAGAGGTTAATCACTTTAAAACAACACCATTATGGTTAAAATCGTTCCTAATCATTTTCTCCAATGTCCAAATTGCGGCAAAAAATATAGATGGTCAAGTAGTATCATACAAATGGGCAGGATAACTAATAAACATTATTCATCAGATGCAGGTCACCATATTTATCTCCATCAGAAAACAGAGTTCTACGGCAATATTGCCAACCACGGCACTATTGCAGGGAAAAAAAGAGGATGGATAGTACCAGCAGTATTATTGACTTTTTTTGTTCTGGAAAATACCTATTTTCAGCTGTATTAAACATTTAAAGTTAATGAAGCATCTGAAAGATACTGTAGACAAATAATTGAATTGTTCAGAGGCTTGGGGTGCTTCAAATAGCATGTTGATCACATACTCAATCAGTATATCCTCAGTAGTAACTAATAACAGAGTTCAAGAATGAAGTAGAAACAGTTAAATCTAATATTTCCATAAAGAAAAAAGAGTACATTAATTGTTGTCATCTCTTTAATCCATGAAGCAGAGGACAAATAGATTTTAATAAATAATATTCCAAAGAGAAGTTTCAGATCATAATTACATTTTTTTCTAACAGAAACTTAGTAAATTGTAGCAGAATCCATTGTTTAAGCTGAAACTATATCCTGAGATTATAACAGTCCAAATACATGTGTAATTGTCGCTTATGTAAAATAAGCAAGTATAATCAGGAAAGATCTGTCGTGTCTCTCAAATTTTCAAACTAAATTGAAAGATTACAGTAACATTGCTGTTGCAATTTGCAAATCTGGTTGAAGGATGACATTTTGTGTAGGGGCAATCCCCAAAATAAGTTGCAGAGAATGACGAAATTCATTCCCTTACTCTAGACGTCAACTTGGCATCCAATACCAATATCAAAAACGCATTCCTAAGAAAGGAGTACAATTGATTCATCATTCTACCCATCTTTAAAACTCGAGTAAATTGGCTTTGTTTACCACAATTACTAGAGCTCTAAAACCATCAATAACAGGGGGAACAGGCCCAATCAGAGATCACACTAAAACGTATCAGAGAAATGTGTAGTTAATTCAATGTATGTACCTTTTCAGCTGGGAAACATGATGCTTGACAGCATAACATAGTCTTGGGCTGACTGTTACAAAAAGTTGGTGTAAACAAGCTCTCCCTGTTTCTTCTGTCAGGTGATCAACCTTGGTTCTCATTGGAACGCTGGATGATGTACTGTACTTGGCTGCTGCACATCCTTGTGAAGCTAAATGGTAGATTTGTTCCTTTTGGAATAACTTCATGGTCAAGACAGTAGTTTTCCCTGTACCTGAGCGACCAAGTATGAAGGTGCTTCTGCAGAATTGAATTATTTCCAACTCCTCATCTGTAACTTCAAATGGCAGATCCAGCTCTCCACCATCTCGTCCCGAAAGCAAATGATTCACAACCCCTGTTGATAAGGAGTAAAACTTCATCAACAACAAGCTTTCACTGACTCTGGAATTTTCCACATAACATCTTCGATCCAATGTACTATCACTTGAATCACTATCAATGCTACTGTCGTTTAGATTCTTGTATCGGGTAATACTGGAAGAGGTAGGCCAACTTTTTGGAACTTCTAATTTCCTGAACAAAATTAGTAAGTTGAAATCAAATTCAGTTACATTAATGCCTTACTTAACCAAAATGCAAAAACTTTTAGTATACAAGAATACATTTACCCCTCTAGACATTTTTCTTTGCACCGACTGATGAAATCATCGGTATACATGTTAAAAATGCCATCAAGACGTTGTAGTAACTTGGATATCTCCTCCAGAGACAGTATATCCCAAACTTTTAAAACTTGTATGTAGTTGGATTCCTTAGTGATGTCAACTGAGCAAACAACAAACAACCCTTCAACCTTAAACTGCTTCACTATCTGTGAAGAACTTTCCCCAACTGAGTCCACCTTTTTCTTGGGTCGCCATCCACCAGCAAGCTTAAGTAACAGGTTTATAACTGACTTCTTCATGTAAGTGGACTTCAGTTTACCAAATGATTTCCGAAAGCTATCACTGAACGTTACCTGTTATGATTCAATGGAAAAGTAACATTTTGAAGCATGAGGTAAAGTTTCATGAAACACAAAAGATTTGAATGCATCATAATTGCAAAAGAAATGTCAAGGATAAAACAAGACAAAAATCTGAAGCAGTGCTTAAATGATCAAAGTAGCATCTTAATGACAACTTTTTTGCCTCATAAAAATGTAAAGCAAGATCCAAAGCCAAATTCAGGCATTTAACACTATCATATCAATCATAAACGACGGACTTGCCTAGATGGACACTTGTGTCAGTCTTCAGAAATTTGCCATAAGAAAGAATTAACCTTACAGCAGTGAAAAAACCAACAGATTAATATTACCTTCCATCTCTGCCGGTTGAAAAGTAAGCTGTCCCCATTGAGCAAATCCTCTAGTTGATCAAGCTCTTTCTTCACATCCAGAATAGTTTTCGAAATATCACTGTCTTCGTCAGCAGTAAAGAAACATCCACGTTCCTGAGCATCACAAATTAGTTCGCTCCAAATAGAATTGCTATTTGTCAGTGTTCTTGAATTTCCCAAGATCCAAAGAGAGTGCCTATGAAGAAACAAAAATGTCAAGAATCCTACTGTTCACAAACGAAGAGCACACATGAATACAAGGCAAATATTCATCTGGTGTCATACCGAGCTCTAGTCAATGCAACGTTGCTTCTCAGAGGACTACATAGGAAACCAATGGACCCACCAAAATTGGATCTTACAGTTGATATTATAACAATATCCTCCTCTCCACCCTGAAATCCATCGACAGACTTCACCTTCACTACAAACTTCTCGACTTTTTCATACTTCCGACAAAGTTTGTCTTGAAGCACTGCAACTTGAGCAGCATAGGGTGATATCACCCCGATGCTAAGGAAGGCATTGGAACACTTCCAGGCTGTCCAAAAAAAGATTAATCATAAACATGATAAAAAGGTTGTATCAATACTTACAATGGCCTAAAACAACAGTCTTGTTACCCTCTATAGGGCAGAAGCAAATTCCAGGATACCTCTTAAATGTAAAGCACATCTACAAGAATTCGAGAAATATAAATATGACAATTCTATTCTGTTCTGATGCTTCAAATCTTCTTTCTGTAAACTGTTTGTGTTTCATTTACTTACAAAGAAAACCATATGCAGATTCATAATTTATTTTAGCTGGCCCTTTTTACCTAGTTCCCTTCCTTCTGGACTTCGTTGTCTTTGTTCATTTTGAGAGTGGGGATGCAAAGCATTTTTAGGACATTATTCCTTCAGGATTATATTAAATCCAAACATACATATTTATCACAATAAATAAAAGAGACAACTGCTTCCTGTGATTTCTCCACAATAGCCCAAGGTCAAACCTGAAATACTGAAACTGCATTCCTCTTATATTGTGATCATAATATTGATTTCATCTGCAACAATGCAAAAGCTTTAACATACCTCTAAATAACCTCTGCACTATATTTACCACCACTGCTGCCTCAACCATATTTCTTAAGCTATGTCCATCCTCATCCTGCTCTTCTTTCCCACCAAGCACATTTATGAATGAATAGGGACCAAACATTCTCTCCGGAAGATAGTATTTTTCGTAACTTTTAGTCCTGACATTAGGTGCATCCAAGATCTTATTCTGATAGAATTTTGAATTTGGGAACACACTAATAGATGGATGCATTCTATACTGCATATTAAGCAGGTACTTAGAATGACCCAGAAAACTCAGTCTTTCAAATAAGCTTCTTCCAAAACCAGCTTCATCAGAAACCTGGCTTAGATATAAAGGCACATTATTAAAGAAAAAGACATCAGATGCCATTTTTGTGTGACATATTTAACTTGTCAATCATGAAATAATTTAATAGTAATACACATACCTTGCTTTTAACTGTGGCTGGCAACTGACACTCATCACCAACAAGAATAGTGTGCCTTAGATCTGGAAGTTGAAGTGGTATTAGTGATTCACACTCCTTTAACTGGGATGCCTCATCAATGACCAACACGTTGAAAGGCTCTATATCTGTCAAGTGCAACCGATATGAGCTAGAAGCAGTGCAAAATATCAAGGAAGCCATTTTGAAACAGAAATCCTTTATTGAATTATCATTCACCACAAGGGGAAGGCCCAGTTTTCCAAGCGATGACAGAAGAGCTTTTAAGACAGAACAGCACTGGCTTCTAATACACATCAGGCATGATGTATGTGTGCATTCTTTAGAACAGTCATCCTTCGTTATATCAGAAGAATAAAGCTCCTCTAGTTGATCAGAATTCACATCATCTTGAAACAGCACCTTCTCCATATTTTCAAGAAGGCAAATCAGATTAACCATGTTTTGGAAATTTTGATCAAGAATAAAACTTCTTGGTACATGAGTACAGAATGTAATCACACATCTTCTCAAGGGTGCCAGAAGAACTTCAAACCGTGCTCTAGCAAACTCTAAAAGTGATTGCAGCTTGGTTTCCAAAACTTCATCTTCATTCCTCTTTTCTTTCATCTTGGATAACTCATTTTCAACATAGATACGGTAGTGCGAAACACAACTTTCAAGAAAATCAATCATAGAAAGCATACAATGCCTCCAACCAGTCAGAGGCGATAAGCACTCCACAAGTCTCTTCACACGATAGTTGAAATAGATCTCCTCAATATCTGAGCAAACTTCAAGGCGATCCTTATTTCCAAATAACAAAATATCACCCAATGGGCAGAGTACATCACCTGTTGCAGATTCAGCATCAAATGACTCTTTCGCCAGCTTTATTACTCGATATGCCACTTCTGTTACTGCTACATTAGTAGGGGCACAAGACAGAGTCCGATAATTCATTCTTAAGAGGGCAAAGAGCAAAACACTTATGGTCCTTGTTTTCCCTGTTCCAGGTGGACCCCAAATGAGTTCAACATAAGACTTGTGTTCACATTTCATCCTATGCAGAGAAGCCATGATTGCTTCAGTTTGAGATTCATTCAGCTGTGATAATAGGCCTGATCCAAGATTTTCACATATTTTGGAATCGTGATTGATGGAACAGATATCACAATTCTCCTCAACCTGTTATTAACAATGACAGATATCAGCAGTAGAAATAAATAAATATGTTCCCAGACAGCAATGTTACGCGATTCTTGAAAGAGAAAGCTTTCAGCTTAACTTGAAATTCATGCACCATTTGTAAATCTGCATTTCATAGACATCCATTCTATAAAAGTACAAGCCTATGGTGGGTTTTCATAACCTTTGTTGTCCTGTGATCTAAAAAGGCAGAAGTTGAAAAAGATCAATCCTTTTTAACTTTTGGAATTCAAGCAAACCAAACTTGTTAAGTAGTTTGAGAGCAAATAAAAACAGAACATGACAAGGACAAGGAATCTGAACCTTGTATACTCAACAACAGAGGAACAAGCAAACAACTGATTGAGATATGTGATGGCTGCTTGAAAAATAAAGAGGCACATTATACCATTTTAACAAAATAACAACAACAAAACAAAGGTTTTTCATATCTGAAAATCCCTTTAGATCCTAAGGCTCAATTACTGACTACATAGTTGGATTTCACTCTAGAGTACACAGTACCAATTTAGCATGACCTAGTAAATGAAAAAGAAGAAAACAAAGAAATGTATCAACCTGTCATCAGAGTTGCTTTCAAATCTTCAAACCATCTTTAATCAAATTTTATCTTTTACCTCTTTCATTCTACGTTTGGTCTGCGAATACTTAGTTTATTTTACAAGAATAAAACAACGGTTAAAAAGTAACAATCCAGGTAGTCAGCTAAGAAACTGCAGCATGGCCTTCAAGATTAAACAAAATAATTGAGGTTCCAATGATATTTCAAGCAAGAAACAGATCAAAATTTTCTAAACAGTGTAAAGTGATGTTATATTGGACACAGACTTTATGGTAGATGTAGTGTAACTTTCAATTGACTCAAAAACCTCCTGGTTTTTCTCCTAAGTGGGGGAAGAGGACGATTCAGTCAAACTTTCTAATAATATCCAGTAGTATTTAAAAAAATTCAATAAATGCTAGAGACTCGGGAAATGCAAACACTGCCACATGGAAAACCACAATTGCTATGTAGGCTCGTCTAGCTTAGGCAATGCGCAATTCAAACTAGAAGAAAAACAAATTGTTCGATTGAAGGATAGTCCAGGCATTCATTTCACAAAGGAGAAACCTGTAAAAACTCAACTTTCCAAGTACATAAACATAATACTGTCAAGTACCACCAACTGCTATTGTTTCTGTACTTACCATGGCACTAATGGAGAGAACTTTCTCAATAAAGTTTCGATTCTTAAGCATGTGTAGGGCATTCCATATCCTTTTGTTTGTGGCTATATTGATCAAGGAAACTACATAAAGTGACTTCTGTTCCCCACTATTGATTTCAATATCTTTTGATGCCTTGACCTTAAATTTAGTTGATGATCTATCATCATCAATTTCATCCCCTTCGATGCCAGTTACCGATGCAAAAGTCCATGACCATTTCATCCGTTGGAGGTCAGAAGTGGTTTCAGGCTTTGAATTAGAGATAACAAGAATATCACCAGGCAACGTTTTGTAAAGCTTCCTGCCACGTTCAATTAGCCTATTTCTCCAACAATCAACTTCAACATCAAACAATAATGATCCATAGGGCTTCCCTTCATCAATAGTTACTACTTCAGCAAAAGGTGCCCGATGTATAATTTCCATGACTGAGGCAAGTTGTGCTCGTGTTTCTTCCAATAAAGGAAATATGTAAGAACTGAAATAATGGTCCAGTGATTGGAATGATTCAGGAATCATCTCAACCTAGACAGTATAGATAAAGGAGTTCAATGGTAAGTATAAGAAACTGTAGTAAAATTCAGTTAAAAGTCCAAAATGTGCGAGAAAACTCAAGAGTCAAATGTAAATAAAACTAGATTGCAGCAAACAATGACAAGCACAGCACATCAAGGAAAACATTCATCAGAAGCTCAACCAAAAGTGCCAGCTGCTTATCCAATTCTTATAGAAAATAGGTTAGAGGTAATTGGTTTACAGCTTCGGTAAAAGACAGGACTAAGTACACAAGCATCAAGGTTGAAAAGATTTGCCTTCTTGAAGAATACGATAAGGAAGCTGCAAAGCACCATGCCTGATCAGTTTAATATAAGAGATCTAGGAATAAAATACATTTTTTAGCACCAAGCTCAGCACTGATATATAGAGGCTGAAGCTTTGGCTTTGTTTGATGGTCTTAAGCATTTCTCAAAATCAAAATCAATGTGATATTGCTAACACCTCTACTGGCTCCCCTCCTTGGAATATTGAGCAACTCATAGTAAGGATTATGGAGCACGACAGCAAAACCTTTTTCACCTTCAAACATCTCTCTCAAGAAACAAACTCAGCTAGCAGACAGCTGAGTAAATTTTTGGATTTTATGTTAGATGATTTTCGTCTTATACTTTTCTAACTCTGCCAAATAAAATTGAAGGCATAGTTCAACCACGTAGATTTCAACATCCTAATCTTCAGCCACAGATAAGGCCATATATCTCCTCATGGTACGCTTTCTATCTCTTCCTGAATAGCAACCTTTTAAATGCACAGTACAATACATAAATCATATTATCAATCATCAGTATATTAGTGATAACATAAGTTCTAATCAAAAGATATCCTATTTACCCTTAGATTTACATGAAATCAATGCTGATCACTGCCATTTTAATGATCTTAAATTTAAAAACATTCATTTTATCTTCTTTGATAAGTCTGTCATTAACAGATTTGAATTCTATGTAAAACAAGCATACTAAGACCTATCATCATCAAGTTTGATTAATTTGAAGAACAAGCTCGATTTGACATTTCCAAATTGCTTGAGAAGATACTTAGAAAAAGGACCTTAAGGCAATAATTACAGTCTTCAACAGGTATTGTTTTTATATACGTCAAGACATTCAGGGTAAATCAACATGTTTCTGACGATTTATCATGCTTGATATGCTTTAATTATATGATGAGTTATCATATAATCGTCCTGGCATAATTAATATAGCATTGAAGTATATCTGAAAGGCATTCACACACTCAAAAAACAAAAATTTGAAAGTAAAACTACACTCTTCTGCGTCCGGTCAACTATTGAATGTTGGAAAACAAGGCCATAGTTGATAGCTTGAATTTAGGCATCCAAACAGTTACATTTAAATGATATTATGCTCTCTCGAGTTTCAGCAATTTCCTCCTCTTTAATTGATCAAAAAGCTCACCCTTCACATCTTTTTTTTTTCCCTTATAGCTGAAAATCAACGCCAATATCAGTCCCACAAGCATAATACATCAAACTTGACAAGTATATAAATGCATATTTGTCGTTTGTGTCTCGTCCGGACGTAAAATAGACAGAGTAACCCAGCCTAAATGAGGGTAAGACAACTTCCGCGAAGACCACCTAGCCTTACTTCTCCTCCCTCCCACCCGACAGGACATAACAAGAGTCAAAATTCCTGCAGTATATTATTTTTCTTTTACCAGTAACGAGAGTGAGGGCTGTAATAATTGAAGTAAAGATGATGCCATTAATTTCTTTATTTCGTTTGTATTAGAATAAAAACGCCAGCTTTAATATTTTCAAAAGTAACAATGAATAATTGAATACCATATTCTACATTGACAATACATCAAAAAAATTGGAGACAATTTCAGTCCCCATCAGTATGTGCTTATATTAATGATGCAGAGGCTTATGAAAAGCACATATTTGGGCTTAAATAATCTGAACCCAGCTATATATAATAACAGATGATGTTAGAAATAATGCCATCATAATTTTTAAAAAAAATACTCCTACTTGAATGTACATCTTTTTCAATAAAAAAAGCAGTATTATTAAACCTGACCCGACAGTTCAATCGGTCAATCCAATGAACCAGCAACTGAATCGGACCGAATCTTTTATTGGACCATTCAAGCAATTAAACCGTTGACTTGTCAACGGATTGGCGATTCAATAAATCCGATGAACTAGCCGATTTTTCAATGAACCATATGTTGTTATAGGAAAACTTTTGTGCAAATGCTTCAACGAAGGTTCAAACATGGGACCTTCTACATAGAAGTAGAGAGCAATCATTGCTGGACCAACAATTCGTTTGTTAGTTAGTAGTTTTGTTCTTTTTATATTATATATAATATTTTTATTCTTTTTTTATTTCTCCAAAACAAAATTTATTTCGAATCTTTTAATAACATTTTATTATTCTCCGAACTCTATCAGTTATGAAATAGACTTAAAACATAACATTTTACACAATTCATTTTAAAGGTAAATATCATTCTTAATAAATTTTTGCACTTAAAATTCATAAATAAACTAGATAATTACACTTAAATAAAATTTTATACTTAAAATTTGGTGAATTACTAATTAAATTTAGGTTATTAATTCTTTAATTCTTATAAGAATTAATTATTATATAATAAATTAGACTAACTGAACATTTATTATGATATAATTTATTATAATTTCAATCATATAAAAAACTATGAAACATAATATTTAAATATATTTAGTGATTCATCGATTGAACCACTGGCCCACTGACTGAACCAGAAACTCCTTGACTCACTTCTTTCGCCGGTCCTCCTTGGCCAGGTTTAATAACCATAAAGAAAAGAGAAAAGCATGTATTGATTCAAAAAAAAAAAAAAAATCTCTTGTAGAATAAATTTAATTCAACTCCCGAGGAGAAAAAAGGTGATGAAGCATGGAAGATGGATTTTATCTAGCAAAAATAAAAAAAAATAAAATAAAATACAAAACCTGATATTTGTAGAGATTGTCATCAAAAATGTCATCCAGAGACCATGAGCAAACCAAATCACTGAAGTCATCTTTGAGTCTGGCTCTGTCCCTTGTTGAAAAATCCGCGCCTTCCATCATTTAAACCTTCCAACAGTCCCCACGAGAAATGAGATTCTCAACAGAGCAAAACTCCCATATGAGATCTTTTCCGAAGTTTTTCTTTATAGTTCTAAACAATATAATCTGCGTGCATGAACCATCATCAGCCTGCTGTATGCTTTTTTGTGCTTGTGTGTGAGAATGAAACACATATGAAGATGTGGGTTTTCTTTGTTATGAAGGAAACTGATCAAAAAACGAGAAATTAAACCAACCTTTTAGGGGAATCTATTGTAGTTCAAAAGCACTTTAGTAAAAGATAATCGTAATCATCAACTCCTTTCTTGCATCACATTTTTCAATACCATTTAACTCAAAGAAAAACTTGTTAAGTTTTCCTTACACTGTGTACAAAAAAAGGGAAAGTGCAGAGGCCAAGCTTAGTGTTACTCGTAAAGATTAAGAGAGAAACCTTAAACAGAACATCATAGTACCAAAAAGCAAAGGAAAAAGGGCGGAAGATGCCAACAAACTCTTAAAGTAACCCTGAAAGTGGGGTCAATAAAAGACAAAGGATGAAGTCGGTCTCTTCATTTTCCAGCTTGACTCGAAGTCTACTCCTTTGTGCCCGCTTTGATTAGCCTTGAAGTTTTCGAGATTATTTATGATGTGTTTAGACACTAGATTAATACTTTTTTAATATGATCCGCATATGTGTATATATATATATATATATATTAAATAAAAAATAGTTATAAAATGTATTAATGATATAAATTAATCAACTTCGGACAAGAGTCACGGAGGTGCAACCCCTTCCCAGTGATTTTGATCATTTTCAACAGCGCGTGATTTTAATTACACACAAAATAATTTTATTTACATAACGTGTAATTTTACAAACCCTATACATGATGTTAAAATCGATGCACAATTTGTGATTTGAACCGTATAAAATTTTTTGATCAAATCATGGTCATTAACTATTCAGGACGATCATTCTGCCCTTGTCCATCAACTTCAGAATGGAAAATAACAAAGTAATCATGAAGTGGGATCAACAGAAGACAAAAAGATGAAGTCGGTCTCCTCATTTTCCAGCTTGACTCGAAGTCTACTCCTCTGTGCCTGCTCTGATTAGTCTTCAAATTTTTGAGATTATTTATAACGTGTTTAGATACTACATTAATATTTTTTTAATGTGATATATATATATGTATGTATGTATGTAATAAAAATATATTTATAAATATATTAACGATATAAATAAATTAACTTCAAAGTCGAACAAAAAAAATAACAACGTGCATGCCAAAAGCGATATTACTTCTGAATTAGGAGTGGTTACTCCTAAATTAGGAGCAAATATTATGGACTAGCGTTTGTTGAAACAGAAAGTGAATGGTCGGGTCACCTCAAACTCAAATAGGAGGCCTACGGTATACCAGGTAGCTTGGAAATTGAACGTCTCACCCCCAAAGAGTGAAGACTTCCTCGGGAAGTTTTCACTTTGTACTATGGATGACAGTAGCCACAGGCTACATTGGGCAGTTCATGTCGTGAGATTTAATGGAATTGAAAGTCTTACCCTAGAGAGGAAGTTTTCACTTTGTACTATGGATGATAGTAGCCGTAGGCTAGATTGGGCATTTCAAGTCCTTAGATTTAATAATCATCTATTGTTGGGCTAATGGTAAGAGAGAAATTCTTTAAAGTTCTCCTGTGCATCAGGTCAGAAATTTAAACCATTCCTATTAAATCAATAAGAAACTTCTTCTAGTACCCTTATTTAATCTGATGGTTTACCTTCCAATCCTGTACAACCCTTTTGGGCTTTCCTTTTCTCACAGTGTAGATTAATGCAAAAGTACCCACCAACCCCTCAAACAAACTCTTTTGAACTCCTCCTTCGTCATAGTGTACAATAGTGTAAGAGTGGAATAAATTATTGTTGTTGGAGGAAAAAATAGTTGTAGGATTTAATCCTTTGTCAGTTTACATTGTGCGTGTAACATTAATAATATTTTAAAAATAGTCATATGAGGAGAATTATGTACATTTATTCCAACTCCACCATTTTTTGATGTCCTATTTTGAATTTTCTATCAATTTGATTTAACAAAAGAGTGTGTTTTGATTGTTAGCTGCCACTAAAAAATGTTTGAAATATTTTACTGATACATTTTCTAACTGTCTGTTTATCTCACACATATCAACTCACTACCGTATATCTTTTTGCAAAAATTCTAAAAAATAACAATCCAAACGAGATCTAAATTATTTATGAAATGGCTTAAAAAGTTTGAGGGGTATTAAGTGCAACAATAATTGTTGGAATAGGAATTTTTTTCTAATTTTAATTTTTTGGCATAAATCATTGTTAGAATGACAAAGATATCTAATATAAGGTTGTTGCAGTATAACTAAAATAGTGAAGGAGAGAGATGGTTAAATACAAAAGTAATTGTTAATTGACATATTTTATGGATTTCAATTTATTATCTTCAAATTTTTTTTACATAAAGAGTAGTTAGAATAACAAGGATAATTGAATATAAAGTTGACATAGGAGGTTTAAAAGTAGGAGTTGGGATGTTTAACTAAAGTAATAGTTTTTAGAACAGCCAATTCTTATGGATTTCAAATTTTTTTTGCCCATTTTTTTGGCATAAGGAATTGTTAGAATAGCGAAGGTAAATTAACATGAGTTTGGCCAAAAACGACAAGAAGTAGGGAGAAACTGGGTGTTTAGCAATTTCCTCTTTTTTAGCTTGATTGAGGAGGAAATTAATTGTTAGAATACCGATTTTTATGGAATTTGGTTTTATCTCTTCCATCGCTTTTTTTTTTTTTCAAAAATAGTTACTATTAGAATAGCCAGGATTTTGGCATTTTCTCTTGCAAATTTTTTGCCCTAAATAAAAGTTAGAATATTAAGAGCGACTTAATATAAAATTGACATAGGACAACTATGAAATTTGGAGTTGAATAGCCATTATTTACAACCATGAAATTTGGAGTTGAATAGCCATTATTTTATTTTTCTAAATAATTATTAGAATAGTAAAGATAATTTTGTACATAGTTGGCCTAGGAGGAGTAAATAAGTGGCATGGTTTACGTCCAAAAATTTTTCTTAAATAGCCATTTTATTTTCGCAATTTCGATTTTCTCTTCCTTTTTTATGGCCTAAAAAATTGTTAAAGTAGTGAATAATTTTGTCATTTATATGCTATGATGGTTAACGGTGGTCCTATCTCATTAGTAAGGAAGCTAATATTTCTAAAACTTCAAAGGTGCTTATATCAATAGATTCTTTAATAGTTCATTCCAAACTTCTAGTTTGGCCTTTATCAGGCAAGGCTGTCAGCTAAGAAGAACCGTCTTCCCTTCCTCTACAAATAGTTCATTTCGTTCCAACTCCTCACAATAGGTTTATGAAATTATCCCTTTGAAAACTTTATAAATGAGGCATGAATTTATATTCAGAATTAAAATAATTAATAATTTATTGCTAAATGACAAAATTTTTCTCGTAATGATGTGCAACTTATTGAATAATAAATGTGAACCAAAATGAACAACAATGCACATTATTGTGAATATAGGTGTGCATCTGAACGTGCACATTTAGATTGATGTATATGCAAATATATAGTTGAATTACATTGATATGTATGTTTAATATGTTTGGATAACAAATTTTTTCAAAAAAAAAAAAATTTCGCTTGCATCATAAACACATTTTTCAATCCACCTTTTTACATTTTCAACCACATTTTTATCTCACATACATCACATTACAAAAAGTGTTACAGTAATTATTCCAAATAATTATCTGGAATAATAAACTCTATCCAAACAAAGACAATTTTTCTTAAAAAATTTTGAATAGTAACCCATACCCCATCTACAAATTTCTACTAAGCTTATGAATTTTGAACCTTCGTTTACTATTCTTCCAAAATTTCTCAAAGTTATTTGGGAAAAATTTTCATTTATTGTGACAATTTTAGTAATGTAATATATAGGACTTAAAAAAAAAAGAGATTGGAAAACTAAAAGTGTAGTGGGAAAAAGGTTAGAGAATCTCCAAACAAAAAAAAAAGATTTCCAAATATGGAAAGCTTGTATTTAGATAAAACTTTTTTTATTGTATCATAAATATGTTTGTACATTACCTTTTTATCTCACATGTATACCATCACATAAAATATTATTATATTACTACAAAAGATTTTTTTCAACTAATTCTCTATCCAAACACTATTAGGAGTATGTTTGGATTGAAGACTATTTTGAAAACACTAAATTATTTATTGTATTTTTTTGTGATGTGTTGCACATGAGATATAAAGATGGTTTGAAAAATAAGAAAAAATATTTTAAAAAAATATTTTCAAAGAATTTTGAGAAAATATTTCTTCAAACAAATTGAATGAATATGGTTGAATAGAAGGGTTTGTTTGGATTGAAAATTATTTAGATTTTTTTTAACAAGTTAGACAGGCTAGGATTCCCTGCCTAACTTGTCCAAATTGAGTTGAGACTTTTAAAGCAACTATTTAAATTTTTTTCATAAGCAGATCTACTAAATAAAATAGTTATTCATTGCTATATTTGTACAACCAATTTTTCATGCTCTAGAGTTTTTATATTTTTTGAACGAAAATTGATAAAAAAGAACTAAGAAATACTATTTTATAAAATTTAATATACTAATTATAAGACAAATATTGAAATTAAATAGATTAAAAATAGTTATTTCATAACAGTTTAATAATTAGTTTTAATCAAGTCTTATCCCATGATCTATTATGCTTACTCTAATTAACAGTGATAAGTCAACCTATAAGCAACGGAGATATATTAGGAAGAAAATGCAGCTAATATTTGATTCTTTCATGATTAAAAAAGAACTTTAAAAGTCAAACTAATAGATAATGAATTTATTATTTCCTCAAATTATTAATAACTACAAAAAAAAATTTGGAAGAATTTTCACAACCTCGTGATGCCCCCCGAGTCTCCTGGGTTCCCGAGTGACAAACCGTCTACATTAAGTTTCACATACGGAAGAGGGGGCAGGTTCACGACAGGATCATAACTTGCCGTTATTCGGGTATTTCAAAAAAGGAACCAGTCCCTGTCTCAAAAGAACCTCATCGTCTATGCCCGTATACCAGAACGGGAAGGCTTGTCCAATTAAGTGCAACTCAGAAACT